CTACCAGACTTGAATAGGAACAGTTCCCCTTCTTTGATCCACTTTAGTGAAGAGAAACTCTAGAGCACCACCATGCTCTGGTGTATTCATAACCAAAATTCCATTTCCACTTCAACACTCGAAACTATTACAGTTATGTCTGCTGAGTATCCACCATAGATATGTAGTCCTGGGGCTGGGCATCTATTTCAGCATCTTGATTTGGGGAGACAGCATTACTGAATGTGGGTTATTAACTTGTTTCAGCTTACAGCTAAAATCTGTGACTTCCACAGATGGATTTTTGCCATATAAGAAATAAGCACCTGTCCTTTAAATTGTGTCTTGGTGTCTCCTCATGCATTCATTTGTGTGAAAAGGGAAGGCATTCATCAGTGCTCATTCTGTATTGAGGACTTCGGGTTAGCTTTCAACGTTTATCTTTACTTCTCCCCACTACTGCATTTTAAATGCAGTTTTTCTGTTCATTCTAGAAGTGATTTCTAACAGTGAACAAAATAATTGGGTCTCATTTTCTTTAGAGTGAAAATTAATTTGCACATCTGAGCTACCACAATATTACTATTTCATCATATTAGTCAGTATGGCTTTTAGATGGTGGACCAGTGTTCTTGGAGTGGAGAGCACAAATTGACCATTTTCCTTAATAAAGGACTTGAACAAATAACCTTTCCCAAAAAGTACAAATAGTAAACTTGAAAAACACCAATCAAAGATGATATTTAAAAAGAGATCACATTTCTCGTTTTTAGTCAGTGATTTTTTAAATGCTGTTTTGGCAAGGGCATGGGGGAAGTGGGAACCTATAAACCACTGGTGGGAGTGTAAAATTGTGCAGATTTTTTTTGGAGGGCAAAACCTTAACGGTTTTCTTTCTGTGTGTGTGTGTTTGTGTGTGTGTGTGGTTTTTTTTGTTTTTGTTTTTGTTTTTTTGAGAAAGAACACGTGCATGCAAGTTGGAAAGGGAGAGAAGGAAAGAGAATCCCAAGGAAGGAGAGTCCACAGATGCGGGGCTCTCCATCTCATTACCATGAGACCATGTATGACCTGAGCCAAAATCAGGAATTGGTTGCTTAACTGACTGAGCCACCCAGATATTCCTAAACTTAATGTTCTTACCTTTTGATCCAGCCATTGCATTTCAAGGAATCTATCCTAAGGAAGTAACAAGAGAAAAAAGTTCATTAATAGTTAAGAACAAAATTGCTCATAATAGGGGCACCTGGGTGGCTTAGTCTGTTAAGACTCAGACTCTTCGGGGGCGCCTGGGTGGCTTAGTCGGTTAAGCGTCCGACTTTCGCTTAGGTCATGATCTCGCGGTTCGTGGGTTCGAGCCCCGCGTCCGGCTCTGTGCTGACAGCTAGCTCAGAGCCTGGAGCCTGTTTCAGATTCTGTATCTCCGTCTCTCTCTGACCCTCCCCTGCTCACGCTGTGTCTGTCTCTCTCTCTCTCTCTCCTAGAAATAAATAAAAAATATTAAAAAAAAAAAAAGACTCAGACTCTTCGTTTTGCCTCAGGTCATGATCTCATTGTCTCGTGGGTTCGAGCTGGGTTCGAGCTGTGAACCAGGCTCTTGAGTACTGACCGTGAGGAGCCTGCTTAGAATTCTTCCTCCCTCCCTCTCCCTCCTCTGCTCACATGTTCTGTCTCTCTCAAAATAAACTTTAAAAAAATTGCTCATAATAGCATTTTCACTAGCAAAAAGTTGGGAATACTTTATTTTTTTAATTTATATTATTTTTTAAATCCATTATCAGCATTTATTCCATTATCTTTATTAAAAAATTAATTTATTAAAAATTAATAAATTTATTTAAAAAATTTATTATTGAGAGACAGAGTATGAGCATGGGAGAGGCAGAGAGAGGGGAGGACACAGAATCCAAAGGAGGCTCCAGGCTCTGAGCTGTCAGCACAGAGCCCAGTGTGGGGCTTGAACTCACAGAGATCCTGACCTGAGCCAGTCAGACGTTTAACCGACTGAACCACCCAGGCGCCCCTTTATTATTTTTAAAGTGTATTTATTTTGAAAGAGAGAGGGGGCACATGAGTGGGGGGAGGGACTGAGAGAGAGGGAGAGAGAGAATCCTCAGCAGGCTCTGCACTGTCAGCATAGAGCTTGAGGTAGTGTAGAGCTTGATGCAGGGCTCCATCCACAAACCATGAGATCAAGACCTGAGCCGAAACCAAGAGTTGGATGCTTAACCCACTGAGCTACCCAGATGCGCCTGTTTGATTTATTTTAATGTGTGTATATTTTTGAGAGAGTTAGTGTATGTATGTGCTTGAGCTGGGGAAGGGTAGAAGGAGAGGGAGGCCAAGGATCCCAAGCAGTCTCTGTGCTGTCAGTGCCCTAACGTGGGGCTCAAACTCACAAACCACAAGATCATGACCTGAGCTGAAATCAAGTCAGATGCCAACTGAGTGAACCACCTAGACACCCCAATTTATTTATTTTTAAGTAAGCTCCATGCCCAGTATGGAGCCGAATGTGGAGCTTGAACTGATGACACTGAGATCAAGATCTGAGCTGAGATCAGAATCAGAAGCTTAACCTACTGAGCCACCCAGGTACCTGGGAAATACTTTGTAGCTATTAAAAGTCATGTTCTTGAGGGGCGCCTGGGTGGCTCAGTCAGTAAAGCATCTGACTTCAGCTCAGGTCATGATCTTATGGTTCGTGGATTCGAGCCCCACATCGGGCTCTGTGCTGACAGCTAGCTCAGAGCCTGGAGCCTGCTATGGATTCTGTGTCTCCCTCTCTCTGACCCTCCCCTGCTCATGCTGTCTCTCTCTCTCAGAAATAAATAAAACACTAAAAAAAAAAGTCATGTTCTTGAAAAAAAATTTTCTATAAAATAAAATATTTTTCATAATAGGGAAAATAGGCAAGATATAAAACTTTATGGCAACTTGGCTATAAAAACTTGTACATATTTATCACAGACACATCTGTATTAAAATCTGAGGTTAGGTGCCTGTCGTTAAGCGTCTGACTTCGGCTCAAGTCATGTTCTCACAGTTTGTGAATTTGATCCCTTGTGTTGGGCTCTGTGCTGACAGCTCAGAGCCTAGAGCCTGCTTCAGATACTGTGTCTCCCTCTCTCTCTGCCCCTCTTCCCACTGGCACTCACTCTCTCTCTCAAAAATGAATAAACAATTTTTCTTAATGTTTTATTTATTTTTGAGAGAGAGAGAGAGAGAGAGCATGAGCAGGGGAGGGTCAGAGAGAGAGGGAGACACAGAATCCGAAGACAGGCTCCAGGCTCTGAGCTAGCTGTCAGCACAGAGCCCAATGCGGGGCTTGAACCCATGAACCACGAGATCATGATCTTAGCTTAGTCGGACACTTAGCCGACTGAGCCACCCAGGCGCCCCAGCAATTTTTTAAAATCTGGGATGTTATAACTCAATGCTGAGTGCCTGTAGGTTAAGGCTGATTTTTTAAAAAGCCAAGCTCCACAAAAACCAGTTTTCTATAGTTAGTTATTACTTTACCAGGAAACCAAAGGTAAATCCAGTGAAGACAATTTGATGTTTTGGCGTTTAGAAAGTAAGTTAGAGGAACTCCTTACTTGACACTTTGTTTCTCGTTTGAACTGATGTTATGTTAATTTATTATTCACGTCTAGAATCTCAGGATAGAGAGGGAATACATTCTGAAGTCTGCCCTGTATGTCTGGAGCCATATACTTTTTGCACCATGTGAATTTTAAGGATTCCTACTATATTCTCTGACCCTCAATATGTCCTCAGAGGTTGAGAATTTTGTTTTTATTTATTCTTTAAAGATTTTAAGCAATTTCTACACCCAAAATGGAACTGGGACTCAACAATCCTGAGATCAGGAGTTACATGATGTACAGACTGAGCAAGCCAGGTGGCCTTAGAGGTTGAGAATTTTAATACTTCTTTATTTTTTCAAGCATCCTTATTGACTTTTTTTCATGACCTGTTTGCCTCAAGGGGGGGCAATACTGCTTGCATGTTTTATTTCAATGAAGACCTTAGGAATTGGTTTTTAAGCAGTTAGCTTTTTAGTTTCTCTTTATAGGCTCCTTGATTCTTTTGCCTGATTAAGATTCTTTATTTCCTTAATTTTTTTTTTTTTTTGTGGCTGTCAGAAATGAAATTGCAATCAGCAACCATAGGTTAAAAGAGAGAGCCTTAGGGTGCCAGGGTGGCTCAGTTGGTTGAGCATCTAACTCAACCCAGGATTGTGGGATCGAGCTCAGCATCTGGCTCTGTGCTGAGCTTGGAGCCTGCTTGGGATACTCTCTCTCCCTTTGCCTCTCTCCTCCACACACACGTATATTCTCTCTCCCTCCTTCCCCCAACCTCTAAAAAATAAATGAAATGAAAAAAACAATTTTTAAAGAGATCGTGCCTGGCTGGCTGGCTCAGTTGGTAGAGCATGGGCCTCTTGATCTCAGGGTTGTAAATTTGAGCCCCATATTGGGCACAGAGCTCACTTTAAAAAAAAAAAACAAAGCAAAACTTAGCAATGTACATTCTAGATGTGAAGGGAAGGAATGTATGAGCCTGGTATAGATTAGTAGCAAGTTCTCCCCACCTCTTGGAAAAGCTGCTGGGATCTATGATAAAGGAGAGCTTGCTACATTTCCTGAGGTTGAAAAGAAGATTTCAACAAAACCTTAAACCTTATGCTACTCTGTAAATGGGATAGCACAGAATGTTTTGGGAAAATGAACAGAAAATCTCCATGTTGCTTTGTCTTTGATTCAGTATGGGAATATGCCCCGACTGGCCTGGTCTCTTAATGACCTTCTCTTCCTTCTCTGCTGCAGGTGCTAGGGAGCATCTTTTGAGGGTATGTTGTAGCTCCAGAGTATGATTTCAGTTTACCATAAGGAGAGGGGCTATCTTTTCTAGACTTTTTTTTTTCTGATTACTAAATGTGTTTGGGAAATGTTTAAAATCTGCATTTCATCTCCTGTGTAATACGTCTTTAAATAATAGCCTATTCTGTTTTTTTCCAGGGGTGAGCCCCTCCAGACTCCGAATAGGAGATCAAGAGTTTGATTCATTGCCTGCTTTACTGGAATTCTACAAAATACATTACTTGGACACTACAACATTGATAGAACCAGTTTCCAAATCCAGGCAGGGTAGTGGAGTGATTCTCAGGCAGGAGGAGGCAGAGTATGTGCGAGCCCTCTTTGACTTTAATGGGAATGATGAAGAAGATCTTCCCTTTAAGAAAGGAGACATCCTGAGAATCCGGGATAAGCCTGAAGAGCAGTGGTGGAATGCGGAGGACAGCGAAGGCAAGAGGGGGATGATTCCAGTCCCTTACGTGGAGAAGTATAGACCTGCCTCCGCCTCAGTATCGGCTCTGATTGGAGGTAACCAGGAGGGTTCCCACCCGCAACCACTGGGTGGGCCGGAGCCTGGGCCCTATGCCCAACCCAGCGTCAACACTCCGCTCCCTAACCTCCAGAATGGGCCCATTTATGCCAGGGTAATCCAGAAGCGAGTCCCTAATGCCTACGACAAGACAGCCTTGGCTTTGGAGGTACATAATGTGCAAAATGTAGAAAGAAAGAGATCTGCTACAGGGTCTCCCTTTCAGACCTCTTAGAGCTTTATAGGAATGCTGAATACAAGCAGCAGCATTGTGATGTTATAGATGTCAAACCATTAAGTACTGATTTTGGCATTTAATGTTGGGTTTTCTCTCTTTTGTAGAAAACCTGTTTTGGAATGAGTAAGCTTAAAATTGTATAATTGAATGTTCTGATTGATCTACTAAACATACTTTGACTTCTTTAACTCCACCTAAATTCACAGGAATTAACCTAAAATATTTTTTTCTCATCTACATTCTAATCTGATTCTTTCTTTCTGTTTATCGTTGTTGAAAATAAGATGGGCTCTAGTAAAGTCCTTAAATGGAATTTTCCCACGAAAACATAATGTGTTACTTTAGAGAGCATGGACTTTCTTACCATTGACTGACTGTTCATAAAGAGTTCAGGGGGAACAGAAAAGCCTAGTACAGGTAAGAAGAGGTACATCCCCAAAAGCACACACTCCTAGGAGCTGCAGGTTTACTTGCCTTTTGCTGTTTGGTACATTTTTACAGGCGAGAAGCTAGTTCTCCAGAGGAATGAATGCTTGCCTTTTACTGGTGACTAGTTAGTCTTGGTAGCCCATCTCCTCTGGCCAACCATTATTCTTTTATTCTTCATTTTAGAACTCATAGCATAGCTCTAACCTCCACCCTCCCTCCCTTTCTGAGTTATGCACAGCTAGTGGTTCATTGTAAAAGCTTGTACAAAAGTGGCATGCTATCCGTCTTTCAGAGCTTACTGATAGAATGTGAATCTAAGCAGAAAGCTAACTTTCAAGAGCACAGACTGAAGTTATGTGAGCACAGAGGAGCAGAGAAGGGGCAAAAGTATATTCTTATAAACTGAGATCTCTAAATGCTGTTTTCTTTTTTTTTTTTTTTTTCCCTAAATGCTGTTTTCTTTGGATCATGTTCATACACTGAAGAGTAAGAGCTGCTTAGAAGTTTGCCTATAGAATAAGCTAGGGTCTATTTGAACCAGTCTCTGATCATACTGGACTTGAAGTTTTTCTTTTACATTCTGAATAGTGAATGCAAAAAGGGTTAGCTGAGTCTTACAGATTATACTGAAAAATGTATTTTTAAAGTGCTTGTTTTTAGAGATCATGTTGTGAGTTAAAAGTATTGTATTTCTGCTTTGGCGAGAAACGGATGTGTGTCATCTAGGGTACACCCCTCTTTCCCGATTTGAGTTTGGACATCCAATATGATGCTGTGCACATACATGACAGATGTAACTCTTGACATTTACTGCAGATCTTGTTAGCACTGGGCTAGATTATGAAAATAGCATTCATGAAACAAGCCAGCCAAGGCCTAGGAGAGAATAAACAGTAATTTTGTCTCCATTCACATTTCCTTTTTTTTTTTTTTCCTTTAAAGTAATCTCAGTACCCAACATGGGGTTCAAACTCAAACCCTAAGACCCAAGAGTCACATGCTCTAGTGACTGAGCCAGCCAGGTGCTCTTGCATTTCCATTCATTCATTCATTCATTCATTTGAGAGAGAGAGAGAGAGAGAGAAAGAGAGAATCTTAAGCAGGCTCCATGCTTGGTACAGAGCCTGATGCAGAGCTTGATCCCATGAGCCTGGGGTCATGACCTGAGTCAAAATCAAGAGTCACACCTTAAACCAAGTATTTTTTTTTTTGTTTTTTTTTTTGTTTTTTTTTTTAATTTTTTTTTGAGAATGACAGAGATTCGGGAAGGGGCAGAGAGTGAGAAGGGAGCAGGAGAATCCCAAGCAGGCCCTGTGCTGTCAGCTCAGAGCCTTACGTGGGGTTCGGACCCATGAACCATGAGATCATGACCTGAGCTCAAGTCAAGAATTGTATGCTTAACCAACTGAGCCAGGCTCCCCAAGAGAATTGTTTTTAATGATGCCTGCCTTGACTAGAGGTTTTAGTGCTCAAAATGGTTGAGCTGCTCTCCCTACAATGAAACATAAATCTTGGAAAATAGATAAGTAGGAAATGGTTTATTATAAAAAAAGAAAATAATGTCTGATTTCAGTAAGTTTTGTTTTTTGGTTAGATATTGATTTTAAGCCACATATATTGATTGCCGACGACGGCCTCTTTCGGATACCCCAAAGTAATAGCTTCGAAATACCTCATGAGTTTAAAAACACAGTGTTTGTTTAGCATCATACAATTTTAGAGCTGGAAAGGACTTAGTATCTTTATTATATAAAAAGAACTGATGGTTAGAAAGATTGGATTGTTCAGACTAATTGGAGGTAGAGCTATAATGAACCCAGATCTCCTGTGGTGCCTTTTCTATCATGCACAATTTAATCTGTGATTCTTTTTGTTTTTTAACAGTGCCGCTGCCCTTCTCACTGTAGGTATTGTGTGATTGCACTAGCAGCATATCCTCACCTGTCGTGTGTGCGAGGATAGTCGTGCTCTCAGTACAGTACAGCTGCACAGTAGACACTTGTCTCCTGTTCTCCTCTCCCATGTCTGGGTTTTTGTTTTGTTTTTTAATGTTTTATTTATTTCTAAGAGAGAGACAGCGTGAACAGGGGAGGGTCAGAGAGACAGGGAGACACAGACTCCGAAACAGGCTCCAGGCTCCGAGCTGGCAGTCAGCACAGAGCCCGACGAGGGGCTCGAACCCACAAACTGCGAGATCGTGACCTAAGCGAAAGTCGGACGCTTAACCGACTAAGCCACCCAGGCACCTCAACCCATGTTCTGAGCTGTCAGCACAGAGCCTGATGCAGGGCTCAAACTCACGACTGCGAGGTCATGACCTGAGCTGAAGTTGGACGCTCAACTGACTGAGCCACCCAGGTACCCCAGACCAGCAGTCTTCAGACTGCTTCTCAGTATCTTAAGAATCCCCAAGAGATGCCCAGCCAGAGAGAGAAGCAGAGGATGCAGGGCTCTGGCTCCAACCAAAGCAACTGTTTTTAACTATGTTATATGTTTGGATCTCTCTAAGATTTTCTTTGAAGAAAGGATTTCTGTACTTAAATAAATTTAAAAAACAGTTCACGAACCACCTGGTCTCACTTAAAGATGAAGTTTTTCTGCATTGGTACATTAACTCTGACCACAATCCTCAACTGGAAAATAAATTCTTACATATTTCCTCTTTTCCTCTGCACCAGATTTCTCTAGTAAGAATGAAGGCTGTGGAAAGTAGGGATTGATTCCAGCTAACCACCAAAGTAGGGGTATTCCTCTGCCCACTATAGTTCTGTGGGTCAGTTGGTCACATCTGGGGGGAATATAACTAAATCAGATACAAGCTGTTCCACACTGGAGCCCCTGAGATTTTATTTTATTTAAAACAATTTTTTTTAATGTTTTATTTATTGAGACAGAAACAGAGCATGAGCGGGGGAGGGTCAGAGAGAGAGGGAAACACAGAATCCGAAGCAGGCTTCAGGCTCGGAGCTGTCAGCACAGAGCCTGATGTGGGGCTCGGACTCACGAACCATGAGATCATGACCTGAACTGAAGTCTGCCGCTTAACCAACTGAGCCACCCAGGCACCCCGCTCCTGAGATTTTAAATATGCAGTTATGCTGAGTGTTTTAAAGGAGAGCTACTGGAAATAACACTAGGCTAGGGCAGTGGCACCTTTCATTTTTGTTCTTTGATTTTTGTTTACTGGTTCCTTGGAAGCTGGAATAGGATGAATCTTGTTTTGTAAATTGCAGATGTTAAAGTTAATTTGATACCTCTGTAGACTGTCCAAAACAATCAAATTATCTTTAAATCTACTAATTATGTAACTTACATTCTCCAATTCAACCTGGCATTTTGCCTTTGATAGATGATAAGACTTGAGAGTAATCAAGGAGCTTGTCAGGTATTCTTAGGTTTGGACCTGTTCCTCAGGGCACAGATGGGAAAGGTGTAAATGTGCTTTGGGTCCCAGATTATATGCATTAGTGGCTACATCAGCTCTGTCTCCCCCTGTGGAACTCCATGAAACCTAAATTGTTAAGGCCTTTTGGCCTGTGTGTGGAGAATTGGAGTAAACACCCCAATTTTCCCTGTGAGAATAAAAATTCGAGATCGGAAAGTGTAAGAACATGAGTGGCAAGTGTTTGCTGTGTCAGTTTGGTTTGTCTTTTCCTATAATTGTAACTATAGATTTCTGTATTGTTCATTGAGACAGGTGTCTGCTTTTCCTCTGCTTTCCATCCTTCTTGTACATTGCCTTTATTTCAGTTCATAGAATCTCAGTTGGAGAAGACTTTGTAGGTAAACTGGCCGCTCAGACATTAAAGGCAGGCCTTCTGGTATCTTCACAGGTGATTTTTATTAAAAATTTTTTTTGTTTTAATGCTTATTTTTGAGAGAGAGAGTAAGTGGGGGAGGGGCAGAGAGCGAAGGAGACACAGAATCCTAAGCAGGCACGGGCGCCTGGGTGGCTTAGTCGGTTAAGCGTCCGACTTTCGCTTAGGTCATGATCTCGCGGTTCGTGGGTTTGAGCCCCGCGTCGGGCTCTGTGCTGACTGCCAGCTCAGAGCCTGGAGCCTATTTCGGAGTCTGTGCCTCCCTCTCTCTCTGACCCTCCCCTGCTCATGCTGTCTCTCTCTCTCTCCTAGAAATAAATAAAAATATTAAAAAAAAAAAAAAAAAAGAATCCTAAGCAGGCTCCAGGCTCTGAGTTGTCAGTCCAGAGCCCGATGTGAGGCTCGACCTCATGAACCGCGAGATCATGACCTGAACCAAAGTCAGATGTTTAACTGACTGAGCAACCCAGGCTCCCCTTCATAAGTGATTTTTAAGAATTTTTTTTTTAATATTTTTATTTATTTCTAGGAGAGAGAGAGAGAGAGAGAGACAGCGTGAGCAGGGGAGGCTCAGAGAGAGAGGGAGTCACAGACTGAAACAGGCTCCAGGCTCCGAGCTGGCAGTCAGCACAGAGCCCGACATGGGGCTCGAACCCACGAACCGCGAGATCATGCCCTAAGCGA